ACATATAAATCAAGTATAAAAATCAAACGAATATTCATATTTGACCTGATTGTTTATAGTTCATAATGCGTAATCAAAACCAAAAGTTTCTGTGATGAATGCCCTTGTACTGTTCACCATGTAAGAACTTATTCACTATGTAAGAATTCGTTCACCATGTAAGAACTTGTTCGTTATGCTTCAGAAGATTGGAGACTGAAGAGAACGAGGCTTGAGATGGATTAATGACTGTGCATTGAGCATTGACCCCCCTATACAGAATTTTGTTGTTGTTAACAACCATTTGATCAATAAATATGAGAGATGCCCTCTCAAAAAACAAAAAACAAAAAACGATGCCCAGGTCAAAAAAGTTTGACAGTGCTGCACAAGATACTACCTTTTTAGAGCTTCCTAATGCACATGTAGTGTATTAAAGGCTCTGAGAAGACCTGTAGTAAAGAAACCTGTGTAATATTTTTAACTCTATATTTCTAAAATGTATCTGATCATGGCAACTTTTTGCATGTTACATCTCTTACTGTCCTAGACAAGAGCCCTGCAGGTTCAGGGGATGCTAGTTATTGCCCGCTGAAGCCGGTGTGCCAGCAAACTGGCCAAGCGGTCCAGGCCAGGATCTGAGGCTGGGGAGCAGAGAGAATTCCTCTCCTCCCCCGGGGGCCCTACTCTGCTCAGTCAGGTCCCCAGCCCCAGGCCAGCCTCAGGGGAAACCAAGAGTAAAACTGAAGCACCCCTTCCCCACTGCTCCCCATTCCTGATGCTCCATGCAGCACCATTCCGTCTGTGTCAGTACCTTGGCTCCGGGGGTCCCTGGCTCACCCTGTGTGGAAAAAAATAATGTTCCAGTAAAGAAGTGAGAGGTGGAGGAGAAGCGAAGGAGCAAAGGTACTCTGGGGGTGGGTGAAGCACCTGGCCACCCCCGATGCCAGGCCAAAGGAGGCCTGGACTATTCCTTCCTCTGCCTCTAGGTGAGGGGTGTGACAGGTGTAAGCATCAGTGAGGCAGCCCAGGAGGAGGGAGAGGAAGAAATTGGCATTTGCTTTGGATGGGTGTCCTGTAGGATCTACACTGAGCACGTGCTTCCGGGGTGTCCCCACCCATCTGCTGTCAACCGAATAGGCACTCAAGAGAAGGACCCCTGCTCTCCTCTCTGAAGATTTGCAAGCATGTAACTGCTGAATTCTGGAGTAAAAAAAGCACTGGGTTCCCTCGCACATTGGCAGGCTGGTGAGACATTTAGTTGAGGCTGGTAAACCTTTGCTACTTACTTGCAAGCCATCGCTAAACATCTGTTGCTCAGGTTGTGCATCTGGCATAAATGTTGCTTTTAGAGAAATGTTTCTGAATCCTGTCTGCCCCCTCCTTGGTCCAGCACCACCCTATGAGCCACTGCCCTCCTCTCTCCAGCCCTCGTCCTGCCCTCATGGGACAAATTACAAAATTCCACTGACCTTCAGCCCAGCCACGGTGATCCCAGGAGCCCCCTGGCAGAGAGAAGAAAAGGCATGGAGACTTCCTGCTGTCAGGGGGAAGCAGGGAGGAGGTGGCCAGCCTCCCATGCTTCCACTGGGGGTATGTGAAGGCGGACAATTCACGGTTGCCTGCAGCCCAGACCCGTGGGAAAAATAGGCTGCTTAGCTTGGCACAGGGACAGTGGCCCGAGGAAGAGGCTCTGAGCGGCACAGCTGGCTACCCAGGCTTCCCACCAGCTGCTCAGCTCCAGGCCCTCCATGGCAGGGAGCCCAGGGATGGGCTAGATGGGGGCATCCCTGGGGTGGCATGGGGGATGCGCATCACTGGGATAGGAGGGGAGGACAGGAGGCGCAGTAGAAGGGAGAGCTGCAGGGGGGAGGGGCAGAGCAGAGGCTGATTTCTCCAAGTACAGGCCACCCGGAGTGAGCAAGTGGGGCTCTCCTCATAGGGAACTCCCTGGACTCAAGCCCTCATGGACTGGGGAGCAGCTGGCAGTGAGCCCCATTTCCTCATCAGCCCAAGCCCAACCACTCTGGGGTAAGCAGGCTACCAGAGCACCACTTAGTAAATCCCAAGTGGAGGTAATTTTTACTGGGACCCTACTCCCCACATGGCTCTCAGGACTGCAGCCAGAGCTGAGGTTCTCTGAGAAGCTTTTTATGACCTAGAGATGCCCAGAAGGAGGCTTGGCACTGAGGAGTGACAGTTCACCCTGCCTGGGATGGGGACAGCCCAGGGCAGCAGGAGGAGGAGAGGCCTGGGAGGAAGTGTGCAGCCCATCTTCACAGTGTGACATGGGAAGAGGGAGGAGTGGGACTCCAAGGTGTTTCTATAGCTGGAAAAGAGGGCTGGGGGCAGTGCCGCCTGGGAAGTGGTGAGGGGCAGGTACCTTTGCTCCGTGTTTGCCCGGCGTCCCTGGCATGCCCCGTTCTCCCTAAAGGAAGAAACCAGAAAAATGATGAGGATCAGCCTCAGCCCCAAAAGCATGACCTTCAAGGATGCCAGCGTGAATGGTTGGTCTGGAAGCCTGGGAGGACTTTCCAGCTCATGATGAGCTTGGAGGACCCTGCCATCGCTGACAGCTACCGTGGGCCATTCATCTCTGCTCCATGAGCCAGCAGAAGGGCCCAAGTCAGAGATCGTGGTGCAGGGAAGGCTCCCAGAGAAACAGGCTCACCAGTGGAGGATGCAGGGGGCAGGGGGACAGGGAAGCAGGGGGAGTTAAGCTCTAGCACCAGCCCAGGCCCAACTGGCCTGGAACTCAGGCTGTGGGGTAGGGCCACAGGGAGGAGTGGCCTACTGGGCCACTTAGCTACAGCAATCCCTCCCTCCCTTCCCTGCCTTGTGCCTCTTCTCCACTGTTCACTCTGGCAGGTTTGCCCCTGTGGTACCTGCTGGCTGAGCAGGTGGGGCTCCTGCCTCTCCTCTTCACCTGGGTTCCTTTTCCTCCCTGGTTCTTTGGGTCTAACTCCTCCTGAGGGTGTGCGGGCCTTGGACCCACGTGGTGGAGGGTCAGCCTGTGCTTTGGGTGGTGGGGAACTGTGGATAGAGGCAGTGTGCTGCCTGAAACTCATCCAGGGGCACCAAAGAGCTGTCATTTCTCCAGGATATGGTGGGGTTTGCTCGGCATCACTGCAGTGCACTATCTTCTTCTTTAACCTCTTTCACCTCTGTGAAAATGCTACATCTGTGGGAGGTGGGAAGCTCAGGAAGGACAGGGCCTATGCTCTCCTGGTTTTGGAAGGACACACCAGGACGAGATGGGATGGGGGATGACAGCCAGTGACAAATGGGGTCAAGAGCAGGTGAGTTAACCTGCCATGATGGGAGGGGTCGTCAGGAGAGGCAGGAGGGCAGCTTCCCCAAATGAAGACCCAGTCAGGGCCCAGAATGCTATGTGATGACAGGTGACAGCTGTCAGTCTGCTGCAATGTCCTGCATCTGAAGGCCAGTACTATGGATGGCAATATGAAGCCTGGATAGACCCCGCTCCTGGCCACCTGCCCCACTCAGGCGCAAGTGCTGTGGCCTGCAGGCTATGCTGTAGTTCCCATAGGCTTACAGGCTCCTGTTCCCGCTTGGCCTCCACTTCTCAGCTGTGATAATCACTTCTCTGCCATCTTACGGGAAGTCCTGTCCACCCCCTCCTGTTTGCCAAGGCTAGAGCTACTTCCACCTTCTCTTGCCCATGATAGTGCCTCCATGCTGGCACCCAGGCAAGCTTCCCAGGACACATGCTGCACAGTAACACTGCTTTACTTTAAAACAGCCACTGCCCGGCATTGACGATAGAAAAGGGACCAGCCCCTGAGCATGGCATTTAGCCCCCTACTTCCTTCCCAGCCTCATCACATCCTGACACCTATTGTCTGTTTCCCTAAAAACGTCACCCATTTTCATGATTCTATGTCTTTCTGCTGTTTCCTTCACTCAATACCATCTTCATCATTGCGGCCTTTGGTCAAACACCATGTCTTCTCTGAAGCCTTTGCCATGGCCCATAACCCAGTGCTGCTTCCTCAGTGCAACAGGGACCTTGTAATCTGCATGTACGATGCATATCTGCCAGGGATGGTTCACCTCCATCTACTTTGGGATAAGTATTTGAATTCTGAAAAAGGCCCAGAAATTTTAGCTTCAGATGCAGGAAACCTTCCTTGCCCTGACACCACCAGGTAAGGGTGGTGAAGTTGGACTCAGGATGTGATCACAGCGGAGAAGCCAGTGCCCCAAATCTGCCCAGCTACTAACTTCTGGGAAATCCCTCTCATGGGAAAGAGCAGAGAAAGGTGTGTCCATTTACTGCACCTGCCATGTGTCTGGCACTGGGCTAAGGCCTTTACTTTCCTCCTCTATTCCATCTTCAAGAATCCTCTCCAGTGCAGGAGTAGATGTTATTCTTGCTTTACAGGTGAAAACTGTGGCTCAGAGAGGCCAGGTACAATTGCCAAGATCATGCAGAGCAGGGATGTGAACACAGGTCATTGTCTGCCAAAGCCCAGGTACCCTTTTCTCTAGGCCAGTTCCAAGCATCAGATGGGCTGATGTTGCAACTGTTTCCACTAAGCAGCCCCTGTGGGCTGAAAGTAGGGCAAAGCCCCTCTATGCTGGAGGGCCCTCATGTCTGGGTCCCATGGGAGTGAAGGGGTCAGTGAGTGGGGCAGCTTAGCCCAGGGCTGGGTCTTTTTAACAGTTGCCCAGAGAAAAGCATACATCTGTTCTCTAGCCAGCAGAGGGCGCCACAGGATGTCGTCAGAAATCTGGCAACTGCGGCCACCACCTTCTCAAAGCCCCTCCTGAGGAGCACCAGCGGAGGCCCTTCACTCTTTCCTTTACAAGACCAGGATACCCTCTTATCACTCTAACTGACCTGTCTGTGTTGACTCAGCCCCAAGGACACCAGACAGAGTTCCCTGGGTGGGGGATAGAGGTGGGAGGACAGCTTCTGAGTCCCTCGTATGCAGGAACCTCCCATTTGTCCCACCCTCCTCGTTCCTTGTCTCTCCTTCAGTGTCTCTGCTTTCCTATTCTGCCTCCAGTGTGGGGAGCTGGCTGGGCGTCAGGTTGTCTGAGTGACCCCGGATAAGCTGCTTTCCCTCTCTAGGCCCAGGATCCTCATCTGGAAAGTGAAATCAGACTAGGCACCTCCTAGCCACCTGCTCCTCTGTCCCTCTCCATCCACCCCAGCCCTGCTGTGGGAGGCCCTTAGGAGGGCCAAAGCTGGGGGGTGACACTGCGTCTGTTGGCAGCAACAGAACATGGCCCTGTGGCTCAGGGAGTTCAGCTCTGTGTAAAACTACAGCTCCAGGAGGGGTCTTGGCAGGTCTCTGTTTTCCCCTCCTCCAACTGGGGTCTGCTCACGCTCCATCTCTGAGCTCCTGTCTCCAATCTCAGCAGGAGCAGTGAAGAGCAAAACCCTGGGAGTGAGGATTTCTGGCTAATTGGGGCTGTTTGCAGCCCATGTTGGTTGGTATGTAAGACACAACCACACACTCGAGGGAAAGCTGGGCCCCCCCAGAGCCTCCTAAGGAGGCAGCCTTCCTTGTTAGCGTGGCTGACCTTTGCTTCTTCCCTCCCCGCTGGGTCAAGTCTCTTAATTCTGCAAATGACCCAGACTTCCTTGATCCCCATCTCAGGGCCTCTCTCCCTCCCTGCCCCTCCTTTGCTGGGCAGGAAACAGGGGTGCCCTGGCTGACCCCACCCTGCAGGCACATTCCACTCTCATCAGTCTCTTTCTCCAGGGGTTGTCTTGATGGGCTTGCCCCAGCCTGACCTCTGAACCGGGGACTGTGCTGGTCCTACACCAGAAAACATTGATTCCTGGATGGTGAGTGAAGTGGGAGAGGGTAAGAGTCATTGTCAAGACTAGAAGGTGGCTGTGGGCAAGGACACTCCTTTGTAGCGAGGGAGGGATGGGGGTGTTCCTGGAGGCTGCTGCTAAAAACTGGATGATAACACACTTCTGTTCATAGAGCATGGTATATCTAGAGGCTCCTTCTTTCTCATTTCCCTTCTTAAAAGTGTTCCTGTTTAACTAAAAGGTTTGAATGTGCAGTTGTACTGAATTTAGATCCACTAATTCTCTAATGTTTTAAGTGGGGAGGGAGCTCTCATAGTCTTCCTGGGTCCCAATTTGTTTCCTGTCTTCCAGGCAGGGACCCTGCAGGCTCTCCCAGGAGGCTCTCAGCCATCCTATCTGGGCCATCCTGCAGCTGGGGAAGTGGGTACTCTGAGCATTACAAAGGGTCTTGTCCCAGGTGCATGGAGGATGGACAGCACAGGCTTTGGTGGAACCAGGCCTGCGCCCCCTAGGCTGGGTTAGCCCCCCAATTGGGAGGCTGGCTGTTTAACCTTGGTGCCAAGAACTGGTACCTAATTGCTGCTGGAAGGGGTGGGTTCCAGTCACGGGGGCTCAGAAAGCTCTGGGTGGGCACAGGCTGGTAGAGAGGGGTTTGCCCTGAATGACCTTGAAGACCCATCCTAGACTTTTAAGATGCCATCAACCATCCTGCTGGGCCCTGTATGTGGGCGCCTTACAGTGTCAATAGATTCTCTATTCTGGTCCCTGCTTACAGATAGGAGGACCCATCATTTACTGAGATGACAGGATAGAAGCCAGCATCTTGGAACACAAAATGGCCGTGGTCTTGTCTTGTGAGAGTGGTCTCTTAATTGGTGATTTACTGTTGAACAAGCAGTCAGGGACTTGGCAAAAAGGCATAGTCTGAAAGGAGGTGGGGGGCTTCAAGGTCAGCTCCCCAGCCAAGCAGAGGTCAGGCCAAAGGAGCGCGGGGAGATGAATGGAACTTCCTAATGTAGGCTCCTGCTGCAGCCCAGCTCTGGGTGGGGAGGGCCCTGGGTGAAACAGTTCCACACACAGACTCTTTGTTCTCTGCAGGGGAGGACGAAGGCCTGTCTGAGTGTGGGGAATGGAGGGCTGGTGGGAGGCCAGCAGGCGGCTCAGCCCTCAGGCCTGGCCTGGGGCCTTCTCCTGGGCTGGAAAAGCTGGGTAAAAGCTAATGCCTTTTTCTGCTTAAAGAGTCCCTTTCCGGGAAAAAGGCAGCTCAGTTCCTTTTTCCCTGCCTTAGCCAGCTCCAGACCAGAAAGGACTAGGACCTCGGAAATGCCAGGTCTTCCGGTAATTAGGACCGGCAGGAAGTGATCTAGGGAATTACCGGGGTCAGGCGCCCCATCGAAGGCCAGGGCTTTGGCAGGGTGGCTGGTTTGTAATCTCTATTTGAGATCGGCTGATTTTGTAGTTAGTTCCAAAAAGAAAAGTCAGCTCTAATTAATCTGTGTACTTTGGAGCGCAGGAGAAACAAGGCCCAGAGAGCACGGGCTGGGGGCTGGAGCCCCACAGAGCTGGAGTCCCTTCAGCCCCCATGAGGCCTCAGATCTGGGGCCCATGTCTCAGCTCCCTGATCTGCTTCAATT